TGAAAACAAGGGCCTACAAGCCCTGTGTCGTTTCAGCCTAAAAAGGGCCCTCCAGGCCCTGAGTCTTTTCAGCCTGAAACGGAGGGCCATTTTCAGGCCCTCATAAGATCGACCTGCCCTGAAACTTAGGCACCAGACAAGGGTTTTAGCACAGGCCATTTTGGGCCTGTTTTCTAGACAACCTTTGTTTGAGCTTCAACGCCAGGGACTGGTACGTTTTGGCATTGGCAAGAGCAGCCTCCTGGACGGGCCAGCACTATATAAGACTGGCCCGCCCTGCAGGCTGCAGGTAGTTCATATGGACTTCCCAGGCACTTCACGTGCAGTTCAGGAGGCAGGAGGTAGTCTTCAGGATTCGGCAGCAGCACTCTGGAGGAGCGCTGCAGTAGTAGTAGTAGCGTTAGCAGTAGTCTTCAGCGCTCGGCGCTATTAGGAGCTAGAGTAGCACTGGATAGAGATAGAGATTGGGCGGAGGTCAGGGAGACTTACCTGCAGTGCCATAGCTCCAGCTCGTCGTCGATGTACCTGCAGCACAGCGCCATCTTCACAGGTTAGTACCTGGCACATGAAAGAAAGAGAGAGAGAGAGAGTTCTTCTTCTTCCTCTTTTCAGTCCACCATCTCCTCCTCACCCTCTCGCTACCTGACTTCACTGCATCAGTAGAGTACGAGAGAGAGGGATTGGTGACATTTGGATCCAGACTCGACATTGGGCTTCAGACATTTGACGAGGGATTATCTGGTACTTGTACCGAACACTTGGTCCCCCCTCTTCTTCATCTGATCCCCTCCTCTTCGTCTGTGTATGGTCTGGACATGGCGCATTCTTCCTGTGTGTAGTGCCAGGCCCCTTCACACCTTATGATGAGGATGATGTATGTTTGGTCTGGATTGCGACATTGACTGGGCTAGTCCTTGGTATTCTAGTATTCCGCTACGCTGTCTGGTACTACGTGAGCGAGGTCAGTCCCGGTCAGGTCAGGGCTTATATCTAAGTCTTCCACTTTGCTACAAGGTGCCATTTTGTATGTATCAGGATGTACATTGCTTGTTGAGATTCCACGAACACCGCATTGTCCATTCAGTCCTTTTTATCACATTGCGGATCCTTGGCTATATATACATTGCCCACCTGGGCATGTAACAGTTGGTATCGGAACACCGCACGTGAATCAGGACAACCTGATCTGACACGTGTGTGGGGTCTAAGTAGTTAATTAGTTTTGATTGATTGATTGATTAGATGTTACATACTTCAATGAGTATGGGCAGAACCAAAGATCAACCAATATAGGATGAGCATTTATGCAGCGGAAGTCTGATAACGAACTGACTCACATAGACCGACTCACACCAACTGACTTACATGGCATCACTCCACACACATACAATCATGAGATGGTGGGGTCTGGGTCATTCATAGACGATACCCAGATCCCGTACACACATACACAGATGAAAGGTGGGAGGAGAGACGAAGGAGGTGGGAGGTAGATCACACCGATAGGTCACAAAGATAGAGTCTGATAGGTCTCCGAAATGGGAGTCCAGAATGTCGTATAACAAGATCAAAATGTCGAGGACCAAAGGTCACCAATGTCGGAGATAACAGAGTCCAGATGTAACCGGTGTCCAACTGTGATGCAGCCGAGTATCAACCTCAACAATCTCCAAGTCTCCAATCAGGTAAGTACCACAGTCTCGTATCACCGAAATCCAACTCTGATCTCTGTCCAACTGGATAGTCTCCAATCTGAAGAAGAAGAAGAAGAAGAAGAAGAAGAAGAAAGGAGGAGGAAGAGGAGAGAGAGAGAGAGGGGACTGGCGAGGGAGAGGAGGAGAGACCCTCCAAGCTCCCGATACCTCAGGCGGTAATAACCGCCGTGCAAGCTCAGTCGCCCGCTGCTGCTCCGCTCGCTGCTGCGCTATGCTGCGCTCCTGCTTCAGCCCCTGCGCTAAGTTTAGCGCATCAAACAGTGCACTGGCACTGACCATGCCGTGCCGGTTGAGTTCCGGTAGGCCGATCCCACTACTGAGGCGGATACCGGTACTTATACCGGTGGGCAATGGTCTGGCCTCAATGCTGCGAGGCCAGGCCAGACCCTGAACCGTCCAGATGGACGGTTCAGCCTCAATCGGCGGGCGGCAGCTTCAAGAGCGCCGCCAGGCCCAAACGAAGTGTCGTTTGGGCCTACCCGATGGGTGATAGTCCAAAATCAGGCCTTTAGGGCCTGTAAACCCCAAAGGTCGGGCCTTTAGGCCCTGGTGTGTCCCTCCGACCCTAAGTCGGGTCCGGTAGGACCCGTGTGAGTCGAAGATGTAACATTAGAGCATACTAATTAGCCCCCAAAATCGCGATTTTGACCTAACTGCCAAAATTCGAATTTTTATTATTTTTTTTCTTTTCTTGGATTTTGTTTTCCCGCTATTTCGGTTGTGGAAAATCGCAATAGCGCAACACCTGAAATTTCTGTTTTCATTTCTCTTCTGAAAATTCGAAATTTTGTTGTTGGAAATCCGGAATATTTTTTTTTCGAAAATTTCGATTTCCTTTTGCAATTTCCCGTTATTTGGAAATCCGGAATATTTTTTTTAATTTCCGAAATTCGTTTTTTTTTTTTTTAAACGGTACAGGAAATCCCTCTTGCAGTTACCATTTTCAAAACTGCGCGTACTCTCATCTGAGTAATTCCGAATATTTTTTTATTTTTTTCGCAATTCTTTTATCGGATAATTATTTGCAGTCTGAAAGTTTGAAATTTTTTCCTCATTGGTAATTTCGCACTTCAGGGGAATTGGGAGGCCTGGTGAACTTGCAAATGAGTATTTTTTTTTGTTCTTTCTCTCAATTTTTTTTGCAAAGTTCAAACTTTTCTTTTTGATTAGTGGCTCCTTATCTGGGCGATTTATCCCATCCACCCCTTCCCACCTATGGTGGCCCCCCTCTGGTCATATCTTCTCTATCTGTCTCCGGGTACCCCCTGCGGCGGCATTGGTGAGTTGCCACGTCAGCAAGCCACGTCAGCAGGCCACGTCAGCAGACCACGACAGCAGGCCCTTCAGCAGACCACGTCAGCAAGCCACGTCAGCAGGACACGTCAGCCGACAGCCATGCCACGTCAGCAGCCGAACAGTGCCACGTCAGCAGTCCTCTGGCCTGGTCTATGCTCACACGCTTACAAACAACCGGCATGGAACAGAAGTCCGTGGAAACGGCCGAGGCCTATCAGGCCCGGATGCCGGCTTTGATTACCGAAGCCAAGAGACGGGCGGATGAGGTGGCAGCCGCAGAGAAGAAGAAGGCAGAGGATGCCGAGAAGGCACGTCTGTTGGCAATCGAACAGCAGTGCCAGCAAGACGAGGCAGCAGCAAAGGCTGCTGATGAAGAACGAAATCAACGACGCAGGAAGATATTCAACAGAGAGCGAGCTTTTCTCACAATGGCATCTGACTGGCGAATGATAAGATGGAAGAGAGTGAAAGCAAGATCGCTCTACTCCTCTCCCATTTCATGGATCTCCTGGCAACATGCATTGCGCAGCAGAAGGACATCCACAGCCTCGACGACGCGGTTCAAATGCACAATCAGGCGTTTGACCAAGTCAACAGCCACCTCCAGCAGCTGGAGCAACAACCCGTCACCACCCAAGATCCTCCTCCAACTTCGTTACTTCCTCGGCCTTGCCAATTATTACCGCTCGTTCAATCACAACTTTTCTGAGATCTCTTACCCTCTCCACGAACTCACCCGCAAGGACGAGCCCTTCAATTGGAACGATCGCCGCCAAAACGCTTTCGACTTACTCAAGCAAACCATCACCACGGCCCCTGTCCTCAAAATTGCCGACCCCACTCGCCACTCCTATGTCACCACTTACGCCTCCGACTTCGCCATTGGAGCCGTACTGTCCCTCGTGACACCGCCGACACCCCCTCCATCAAAAACTCCCCCACTCACCCCGAGGCTCCACCCGGCGAATACCCCATCGCCTTCGCTAGCAAGAAGCTCCTTCCCGCAGAGATGAATTACCCCTCCAACGAGATGGAACTCCTCGCCGTGATTCACACCCTCACATTCCGATGCCTGTACCTCGACAAGCAATACTTCACCATCCTCACTGACAACACCATCGTCTCCTCCATCCTCTCTAAGAAAGATATCACTCCACGCCAAGCCCGTTGGCTAGACTTCCTTGCCCAGTTCACATTCACCATTTGCCATACCCCTGACAAAAGCAACCGCGTTGCGGATTGCCCTCTCTCGACGACCCGACCACAAGCCCCCCGAGAAAGTCTACGCCACCATGACTCATATTCAACTCCTCCCATCACTCCATCACCGATACACCCAAGGCTACCTCTCTTGCCCAGACTTCGCCACCATCTACAACAAGCTCCGCGATCTTGACCCAGTCCCGGAGTACTCCCTTCACAACAACCTTCTCTTGGCCGACCACCACGACGCCAAGACCGCAGGACACCTCGGTTTCCAGAAAACCTTCGACACCATCTCCCACGACTTCTACTGGCCTTCCCTGCTCGACGACGTCAAAGCATACATTCGCTCATGCCCCACGTGTCAAGCTGTCAACCCCTCGAACCGGGCCAAACCCGGCAAGCTCCAATCATTGCCCATCCCAACTCACCGGTGGCAGTACATCTCCATGGACTTCGTGTGCGGCCTTCCCAAGACCGACCGAGGGCATGATTGCATCTACGTCATTGTCTGCCGCTTGACCGAACGTGCCCACTTCATCCCTTGCACGACCTCGCACAGTGCCAAAGACGTCGCCACACTCTTCTTCGACCAYGTTGCTCGCCATCACGGCCTCCCCGAGAATATCATCAGTGACCGTGATCCTCGCTTTCTCTCACAATTCTGGAAACACATTTTCACGGCCTATGGAACCACGCTCAAGTATAGCACTGCATTCCATCCACAGACCGATGGACAAACAGAGAAGATGAACGATAATCTCCAAAGAATCCTGCGGAAGTATTGTCATCCTCATCAACACGATTGGGATCAATTGCTCACAGCCGTCGAGATTGCCTACAACAACGCCAGGCGGCCCTTCCACCGGCATGTCTCCATTCTACCACCCTCGCTTGCCCTCTGACTTCTTGCTTCCTTCACAGCTTAACCCATCCACCCCCTGCCCCTCTCTCAATGAATGGGTAGCAACAATGAACAGACTCTTGAGAGAAGCCTCCGAAGCCATTGAACGAACCGATTAACAACAAGCCAACAAGACTAACAAACATAGACGCAACGTGTCATTCAAAGTAGGGGACAAAGTCTGGCTCTCCGCCAAACGCTTTGAACCCGAACACGGCTTGTCCAAGAAACTCTCCAACAAATGGCTCGGTCCCTTCCCCATCACCTACAAACTCCAACTTCCTACTGACATGAGTCGTGTCCACCCAGTCTTACATGTCGAATACCTAAAAGAATACCATGATTCCCCGCCCCAGTTTGCCGACCGCCCATATCCTAGACCTCCACCAATCATGCTACCCACAGGCCCTGAATTCGTTGTCGAAACCATCATCAACCGACGAACTACTCAGGTATTTGACCATCCGGAACCAATCACTGAATACAAAGTCAAATGGACCGGATACCCCAACGAAGAATCTACATGGGAACCTCTCTCTAATCTTAAGAACACCATGAAACTTGTCCGCGCCTATGATCGTGTCAATCCTATGTCCTAGATACCTATATAACTATGGCATAAACCCCCGCTAAACCCTCGCAACCCTGCTCTACACACACCCTTGAACCCACCCACCCTCCCCTTGACCCTGATTCCTGATGTCTGATCTGCCCTTACCTTCGCCTAGTCTTGTCCCATCTGTCCTCTCCACTACCTTGTCTCTCTTGTCCAATTCTTGTGGACCTGCGTGACGCCGACGATAAAGGATCTAATGGCAAGCGCATGAGGACGATGGCCTGCTGCCTCACTGTTCATGGAGATTATGCAACTGGTTTGGCCACCATGCTGTTTCATCAGCCGGCATCCCGACTCGCGGACTTACTGGAGCAGCAACTTGTGACATGGATCTTTGCATCAGTCTGCGACTTCCTTGCTTCCAGATCAGACCTCATTGCAGTTCGTGTACCAGAAGCACCCTAGCACTTGGACTTGAACGTTTGAACTACTACTAGCTTCTTGGACTTCTACCTGTCGCAGCCGCTGAAGACCGCTTCTACCACCTACTCCAAAGACCTGATCAAGACTGCCGCAGACCCCCTTTGAAGACACTTGGACACCTTGTTCCTACCTGAGATTCTGCGTCCTACCCTTCAGACACACCAGCCCTTGCATCCTGAACCAACATTTTCATTTTTATTTTTCCCGACTTTGACAACCCTGTAGAACATCATTAGCAGATCCCTGCTTCCCTAACCATTGTTCCTCGTACCCACTGTTTCCCTTACCCAGTAGAACATCAATAAAAGTTCCCTGTTCCCTGACCTTTGTTCCCCCTTAACTTATAGCAAACCATGCAGTCCCCGTAGTTCATCACTAAGACAACCCTGTTCACCGGTACCAAACCTTGTTCCCTCTTACTCCCGCAAACCATGCCACCCACATTATACCCCTCTTCCCTTTCGACTTGTTAACCAGTGATCGGCCCGGTCCCGTCCTTCACAGATTTCAGCATTGCGTCATGATTTTTGGCAGCCGGGATGTTGCCTTCTAGAGGGAGGGGATAGTGTTACGGACTCCGCCAGGGCTCAATCCCTGGTCTATCTTTTTGCTGTTTCGGCTGCATCCCGTTTTCGGCCTGGCAACCTTTTTCCAAACCCCTCCTTTGGTACCGTAGGATTTTGGACAACTGGCGCCATGCTGCAATTCGGGCACCACTTTCAAATACCGCATTTTTCAGTTCTGCCCTCGGGGCCTTTGCAGAAATGCCCCTGGTACCGTACGTGTCACCGGTACTTATACCGGCTCCCCGTACGGTACGGGGACCAGTCTCGTACCAGTTTTCTGCTGCTGTACTTGTGATTCGGTGTGACTTGCTTCGACATTGTGTTCGGAAATCCAAGACCTCGACTTTGCGACTTTGCCACTTCGCGTCTGCGTTCATCGAGTCTTGTCGAGTCTGCATCGAGTTGAGTGAGTATGTGTGTGTGCTCTCACTCTCTCCCTCTCTCCCTCTCTCCCCAGCCTCGTTGCCTCAGCCCCGTCACAAACGGGTTCCTTGCGATGTTGGACCGGTTCGTGCTGGTCTACTTAGACGACATTCTCGTCTATAGCCGGACATTGGAGGATCATCTTGAGCACCTTCGACGAGCGTTTGAAACACTCCACTGCGCCAAGTACAAAGCCAACCGCGACAAGTGCGAATTTGTCAGGCAAGAGTTGGAATACTTGGGCCATTTTGTCACACCGAAGGGCATCAGTCCGTTGTTGGACAAGATTCAAGGCAAGCCGGTATCTTCGGCTCCACGCCGCACCCACGTCCAGGTTCCACCATTAGATCGTCAGCTTGGCACTCGACCCGGCTTGACTTCATAAGGAGGGGGGGGTGTTACATGCTGCGCCTGCAGACGAGGGCCATTTGCAGGCCCTGCGTCGTTTCAGCCTGAAAGCCTGAAAACAAGGGCCTACAGGCCCTGTGTCGTTTCAGCCCGAAAGCCTGAAAACAAGGGCCTACACGCCCTGTGTCGTTTCAGCCTGAAAGCCTGAAAACAAGGGCCTACAAGCCCTGTGTCGTTTCAGCCTAAAAAGGGCCCTCCAGGCCCTGAGTCTTT